GATAATGTTGTATGATGATAATGTAGTATGATGATAATGTAGTATGATGATAATGTTGTATGATGATAATGTAGTATGATGATAATGTTGTATGAAAATGTTGTATGATTCATCATGCAACATTATCATACAAGATCATACAAAATTATCAGCATACAACATTATTACCTGATACAACCATTATCATATCATACAACATTTTCATCATACAACATTTTCATCATACAACATTTTCATAATACTACATTATCATCATACAACATTTGAGTCATACAACATTTGAGTCATCATACTACATTATCATCATACAACATTTTCATCAAACACAATTTTCATCATCATACAACATTGTCATCATACATCATTTGAGTCATCATACTACATTATCATCATACAACATTATTATCATATAATATTATCATCATACATCAATGCTATAGTTCTCCTATACTAAAGTCTTATTTCATCAGGATAATGATTCCACTGCATATGACAAATATGAGCTGTCTGCCACACAGCCCTCTGAACATGAACTGTAATCCTAGTAAATAATGCAGATGTTTCTCGGATAGAGTAATGTACTGACACTGGCAATAATCCTTTAACTCTTAAATTTGAATAAATTAATAAAAGATGCATGAAAAGAGAAATCTGTTATTTTATTGGCTGCCGGCCATTTAGGATTTTGATGTTGCGTGACCGGCAGTCCGCCGTGTTTGTTGAGATTTTTCTCGAATAGAACAATGTCTGTACAATACCATGAAAGTTTCAGAAATGTTTATTATGTTGTTTTAACTCTTTAAATAAGAATAATAAAAGAGAAATCTGTTTTTTTATAGGCTGCCGGCCATTTAGGATTTTGATGTTGCGTGACCGGCAGTCCGCCGTGTTGGTTGAGATTTTTCACGAATAGAAAAATGTCTATACAGTACCATGAAAGTTTCAGAAATGTTGATTATGTTATTTTAACTCTTTAAATAAGAATAATAAAAGAGAAATCTGTTATTTTATGGGCTGCCGGCCATTTAGGATTTCGTTGTTGCGTGGCCGGCAGTCGGTTCAAGTTCGCACATCTCTAAGTGCAACGAATTTCGGCGCGACGTTTATGTAAGTTTTAACACACTCATTTTACTCGTAGAGTTTTATTTTGGAGTTTGGAAGCTCGTTTAGATAATAAGAGAGTGAAAAAACACATTTTATGGGCTGCCGGCCATTTAGCATTTTCAAGACCTTGACCGGTAACCGGCCATATAGACACAGCGTAAATAATAATATTGAAATTGATCATATATTATCAATTATCATCTAATCATTTATTATATATTATCTATATGAAACACGTATATTTCTCCACTTCGTAAAGCTGATATTTTCACTAGTGAAAATTACTCATTCGAGGTTTCTCTATATAGTGGAAGTAAGAAAAAAGGTATTTTACGACATAATTTAATAATTACGACAGCAATATAAACTTTATTACTAAATGTCTATCATTGCAAGAACTCGCCCTTATAACAACACCAGTGGATAAAAT